AATTATACATTAAGCGACCAACCTGATTGAAATAGCATAGAATGATTCTATTATATATATATATATATATATTTATTCTTGCTTTCTATCATAGACTTATCGCACTATCGCACAGTACGACTAAACCGAGAGATCCAATCATCCGTGACAGCTATTGTAAATTACTTCCTGAAAATGGACTTGAAGTACATGCACGTCTTCTACTCACGTGTCAATCATCTCATGATCCTTTCAAAGCTCCTTATTCCCCCTTCTATATATTCTTCAAGGTGAGTAATCGTACCGTACGTTCTATCCTTTCTCGGACACGTTTCGCGTTTTTCGTTCGGTAATCGTACCAGGTAAAGCATGTAGATAGGCAGGTATTCCTACTGCCATACTAGTGGACCGCTGCACTGGTACGCGAGCAAAACCACATGGCCTTATCTGGACCATAACGCTTCGCATATATCGTGTCGCGAGCCACCGGTTTTCCCTCCCTTCCTCTCCCGCTTCGAAACTTTCGCGGTTGCGAATGCAATATAAGCTGGATCCGCCGTGTGATTCTGCCAGGTCACGAAAACGCATACATTCTCAGTGTGCGGGGGTGGCACACAGCTGTGCGCATATCATGTCTATGCGATACCCTCGATCGCATGCCATGCCGCACCGCGCTACGCCATTGGCAATGCACTTCCCATTGTCGATGGCGGCCCGTTCGAGCATCGAACCGCGATAGAGCGGCCTCTTTTCCACCTTGGTGGCGTCGTGGATATTAAGGTCAACGCGAGCGATCGCACAGGAAGCGATGGACCGATTTTCCGCATAATTTCGCATGATATTACCGCAACGCGGAGCCGCGGATTGTCCGATGTACCCACGAATTTTCGAGCGTATCCGCGTCTTTCCCCGTTCCTCAAACTTCCCATTAACGAGTTATATGATCATTACAAAGTCCGTGTGCTGTTCGAATATAATATGAAACGGACCGGATTGCGATAAAAAATCTACCTTTCAGATATAGATAGAGAAAAATTCGACGATAATAGCAAACTCGCAGGAAAATCATTAGGGCTTCGCTATGATGTTTGAAAGACTGTCTGTTCAGAACAAAAAAAGTACATACTTTTATGCATTTCGAATAATTTCAATTAACTGTAGTTAAATAATTTAACGAAATGTTTTTACTTCTGGACAGGTTAAATTTCAAATTAATCAAACGACATGCAGAAATACATCAAACCATTAATTTGAAATTTAATTGTGTATTTGAACATAAACCGAGTTACTAATACCACTGCCGGATTATTTGAAAACGGCCTGAAAATATGAAATACCTATTATTTCCATGTTCATATTACAATTTCAAGTTAATTGAATTATCGATACGATCGGAAGCATGTAAATAATTGATGAACATGGTAACATGAGGAGTATTTTCATTTATCGACATTAAAAATGCATTCGTATCATCTCCGTAATTTCTCGGGAACCTAATTTCTCGGTTATCTCGCACAGGATAAAGGATAAAGGATAAAGAAAAAGCCGCGGTACCGGATGTTCCGGAAAACGCGAGTGAGCCGCGTAGAGTTACGGCACCTCCCACGAGCACGACGAGGAGAGATCTTCTCCGAAGTAGCGACCGTGACAAGTGGCGCGACGAAACTCCGGCGTCGTGTCGATACAATATGGTTACATTTCCGTCGCGTCCCCGCGACGCGACGGCCGTACATCCCTTTAAATCCACTTTTACGGCGTCGAGGGACGGTGCGTGAGATCCGTCAAGATGACGGACATCCTTTAAATTCGCCGGAAAAGCTGCGGGGCGGGCACAGACGACTCCCCGAGGATACCGAATGTACCTCCAACGAAATGAAATTCTGGTCGGCGTGCTCTCGCTCTCCCGCTCTCCCGTTCTCTCGTCCGACCATATAAATCGACCGGGATGTAGACGACGGGCGGCAATAGGTACGTAGGCGCACCTACATGCCGAAGTAAATGGAGAAAGCGACCGTTCCAGCCAAGACGATCGAGAGACGTAATTGGCATCGTGCAAACCTAGAGTGGTCTTGATTCAAGATCCCAATACCGTGCCCTTCTCCCTTAATTGCACAACGCCGAAATCGGACGCGCGCCAGGAATAATTGAAATCACACGAGAGAGCCGGTTATTCTCGCTGTTTAACCATGTTTACGCGACATCAGATCCATTTCGACACAGGCGAAACGTACATCGAATTTCGCCAGATTCAACTCTCCAGAGCTATTGGATCCATTCAATTATAAATCTATTTGTCAAAAGTGTCAAACAATCCAATTTTCTTTATGCTATATTATTATATCTCTAAATCTCTGTGGATTATTTTTATTAACATACACTTAATATTTATTCTTTTCTGTACGAATTATGTCATTTTAGTTTCTTGAAATTAGTTTATGTCTTTTTTAACCATAGAAGACTATTGTGATATTATACAGTTCGCGCAATTAATGCCTTCCAACCCTGTTTTGTTATTGCGTGTTACTTTTTCGGTTATTTTTGCATTCATGGGCGAAATACGCGAGTTTCTCCAATTTTTATAGGCTGGTTTAATTCGTTCGACTATGGCCATGAACGTGAAAACGACCGATGAAAGTAAACGCGATGCCTCACCAGTGGATGTGGTATCATAGATTTGGAAGGCATTAATTGCGCGAACTGTACGTTGCTACCAATATGTAAAAAATATGTACATGAAAATAAGCCACTCTTAATAAATGGAACACAAGTGTTTCACACATTTTACATTTTTAATGACGAAATACTTATAATCTAAATTTTTGTAAACACGAATAATCTAATTATTAACTTAAAAGGAAAGAAAAAATAAGCACAATATTAAATTTAACCTTTAAATGATATAGTCTAATCCAATTTTATGTGTGTGTGTGTGTGTGTGTGTGTGTGTGTATATTTCATACATTTAAATAAAATAATAACACAAAAGAATACACACAAAAGTGCTTAAAAATTGATATCATTTATCGCACTGTCTGTTATAATACTACCAGATCAAGACTGATATATTAAAAAAAAAACGGATAAAATTAAGTTAGTTTCCGCTTATCCTAGTTTTCAGTATAGAGGATTGGATCTCGTAATACCATTGAAAGCATAGATTAGTGCTCAATGATCTCGCTATACGCAAAATTTACGTATCCATATAGCACTCTAGTGTTAATTAATATAAATTAAATGGATCTCACATAGCCAGCATATCAGTAACTATGTTACTGATTTTACTATTAGCTCTGGAGGGTTAAAATCAGTTAATATTGGCATTGATATGCATGTGACCTTACGCCCGTAGCAAATTATTACAGCAAGCGGTGCGTGCGTTCGTTTATTTGACGATTTCTATACTCACTCTCCTTTCTTTTGTCTCTCCCTCCCTTCTCTCTTTCTCTCGGTAATTTTGAATTATTAAAATCGCCTACCCCCAATTAAAAATTTTTCTATTCCTATTATTCTATACGCATAATATTCTGCATCAGATATTAGCGAAGTATTTAGTTCTGAATCACGTAGTGATCATTACAATGGAAATTTCGTGAAAATTAGATATCGAAGAGATGTGCCGCACAATAGTTCGCCAATGCGTACTAAACGTGAAATATTAAATACACAATAATGAATAGAGAGTTACTTTGCGAGATAATCCGTATGTCATTTCAACTAATCTCGATTTTCGTGATTACTGGACCGTAGAGTCGATAGCGCTATTTCAAATTAATTACATTTGCCGCGTATATTATATAATTACTATACATATTATTAAATCACAATTAGTGTATAATCATTATTATTGTTACCGACATATTTAATCACATTAACTAATCCGCAACTTTTTTTTATGTCGGAAATTTATACAAATCTATGCGTATAAAGATGTAACTCGTGCGATCAAAGTTATATTCATCAAAGTTATATTTTATATACGAGATTTATATTAATGCAATTGCTTCGTAAAAATTACAATCCTAAACGAAACGAGATAAAGAAACAAATAAAGACTGTATTATATTCGTATTTCCGATACCTCGTTATAGAAACAGCATTCATAACCTGAGAATACAAAAGCAGTGGTTGAGGTATGAACTTTGACTACCAGATAATGTTCTACATTTCGACCTCGATATCCGATATACGAAGCGCGTATAATGGGAGCACACGTATCGAAATGAAAAAGGGGGCAGCAGTGCGCGTGTTAATTAATTGGCTCGGCTAAATGGCAGCATCTCGTTCGCGTATTTACCTGTATATGCGTCAATAGATAAACCGGAAGCACCGGCAATCGAGTCAATCACCGAGAGTAAAACCACGCGCGGATTTATTCGTCCTCTTCGCTTCTAGCCGCGCATCCGCGTAAAGTTAACCGCGGGCCGCTCGCAAAACCATGATAAATTGAATTTCAATTGCGAAAAGCGTATATGCGTGTCCCCGAAATGTAAATCTGGGACCGTGAGAAGCTTACCGCAGGGTGGATAAGTGAGTGAGCGCTCGATGGTCCACTTTCATGTGTATCGTCATCTCCTAGATTAGAGTTCATCAGAGCGGAGATCAAAGTGCAGCGAGCTTATTTATGATGCACATTCAATTACATTTTAACAATTGTCGGCGTACAATGCCGCGTATAAATAGAGGGATTCTTCTTGTGCGTATCCACGACAGAAGGATACAAATTTCGAAACTGAAATTCTGAAATTTCGTCACCGTGCATCCTCTCTCTTCCACGCGTAGTATTTCACGGAAACGCTCACGTCGTCAACAGCATGCCGCTACGACAAACTCGTTATAGTATTAAGTACCCTCGGGAAATCTTTCTTTCGTGCCGCGTGCTTAACGAACGTTCTTAATGGAATTACCGCATTTGCGCCGCGCGGCGCAAGAATTTGCGGTTCGTTGCCCGTGGCATGTTAAGTGGCAGGCCGGCAATTGAATTTGAAGTCGCCGAGCCTGGGTCAGTTTATCGCGCTGCTTACCTACGTGTCGAACTGGGATAACTTCTCCTGGGCTACATGGACGGTGTGATCATGTCTCTCAGCGGTCGGCATTCTGAAATTAAACGTTGAATTGATCATTAATCACTGGTACACGTTCGCATCGATTATATTAACCTTCTGCCGGCAATTTGAATTTTAACTATTCCGTCAATAATAGTGGTCTTCGTAAAATAGAACAAATTTGTTATTGTTCCGGATTATATAAAAATTGGAAAAAGTTCTATACTTGTCAAAACTGTAACGAATTTTTGCTATCATAAAAGTTAAGGTTTATATTATTTATTTTTTTTACAGATTTGATTTTATCTATTAAAATTCACAATTAAAAATTGACGATGCCTTTAATTCATACTTTAAAAAAAAAAGATAAGTACATTAAACCGAGATTAGAGTTGATCTTACATTGATGAAACTGGGCTCTGATCAGATATGCTTGCATATTATTTTCGAGAGTTATCATTTCTATTGATAAGTTAACTTTAATCTCGGTTCAACTTATTCTTCATCTTTTTTTAATTTTAAAATTAGAAAAAATGAAGAGTAAGTGAATCGAGATTAATCAGATTAATCTGCTGGTGGAAACGGTTTTTAATCGGACGCGCATAAAAAATGTAGTAAAATACAAATAATTCGCGTTTAAAATGCCACAAAGGAAGCGTTTATTTATTGCGAACATTTATTACTCCTCTCCCGCCCAACAAAATTGTCCCGTTGTACATCCGGAAATATCTGGTCATACTACTATAATTACAGTAGGTAAGTTTTCGTTGGTAACTGCACGTTGTCACGGTCGAAGCAATACGCATTTTACGCGATGTTTTAATTTCCGCATATATACATATATTCATAGTCTCTGTACCTGTTTAAATGATCAGATTAAAAGCTTGCGCTTTTTGGTGTTATCTAAAATTCCCGGGACATGTGCTCTCATTTTCCTTTGAGATCACCTCGTTAATACATAAGGGAAATGTAACATCGTCACCATAAACGCCACTAAGGATCGTTTTCTATACATTACAACTGACGTCTCATTCACTTCCGTAGTTGAATCTCATCGCGTGAAAATTGGAAAAGTTCAAAGCGCTCGTCGTCGCCACTGGCGCGATGTTAAAGAGAACGAAAGAGCGGCTGGGGGCGGCAAAAGGGAAACTGCGGCGCGCCGAGGTCGAGAATAGAGAAAGAGAGAGAGAGAGAGAGAGGGAGGGGGGGGGGGGGGAGAGAGAGAGAGATAAAGAGAGAGAAAGGGATGGAACGGAAAAAGCGTGGATGAGAGAAGCCGCGGGAGATATTGTTTCCGCGGCGTAGAGCGATTGCGTTCGATTTTACGGGACGCGGCAACTCGCGCGGAACGAATCTATTGTGTGAGAGGAGTTAAATCGTGTACCACCGTGGATTTAATATGCACGAGTGCTAGAACCGTTCGAGTTGCACGTTACACGCCGCATACCGGTAACCTGCTATCAGCGTGTGCCGGTCAATTTTAATCGGCCCGCCAGCCGTAACCCCCGGAAGCGAAAATGTCCGAAGTTTCGCGTTTACATTCAAGCCAACTGGATGTTATCCACCGTCAAGATGTGCCCAGGGCGATTCAACTTGTAAATGCTTACGCCGCGAACCGCGTTTGTAAGATAAAAGAGCTATTCTGTTTCCTTTACGCTGAAATTATACGAGATATCGTTATATTATTTCACACAGTTTCCTCCGTGAACTTGTATAATGTATAACATACATACGAGTGAATATAGATAATATTTCGGATATTTCATAAAATTCCATTTCTAAGAAATGCATATTAAATCGATACTTGAAGTATTAGTTATCTTTCCATTTACATCGATTCTTAGACAATTCTCATTTGTGACGTCGTAACTCAGTTGAATACGCGTTTCTTTTGCATTCTGATAAGTGAGATAATTAGTGATATATTCGAGAAAGACGAGACGAGAAAATACCAATACCGAGATTTAGACTCGACAAAAACAAATGATTGATACAATTTTCCCGTCTCGATGGACCGATATTCTCGCTTCTCAAGATTTCCGAACTTTATCTCGAGACACTCGAGACTATCTCGTTTCATTTATTTGAAATATTTATATAACCAGGCAGCACATTATATTATTATAACTGTCATAAAGACGTCGAGGCGAAACGAGAAAAACAAATGACACTGATTGAAATGATAATTTTGAAAATGTTTCTTTCAATGACACGAGAAATTCTAAGACGATATTCCGAGATTCTCGTACCGAAATGCGTCACTAACTGAGATTCAACTGAGTTTTTACCTATAACCTGCACAAGATCGAGACTGTGTGCTTTAGTGAGTCTCGTAAACTCACTTCAAAGTGAGGTTATGAACCTGTGTTAACATGTGATAACTTTTTACCAAAGTAAGCAAGTAACGTCATTAATCTGACTGAGTATAAAATACTGAGCTCACACACTGCAGACTCGGTTTCACTTGTGTGTAAATGGAAAGCAACTATTGTTGCCAATTCTCTCGCTGCGTTTACTTTATGAACGGTTGTTAGGTCATCGCATATTTTGATAGTTTTGTGTACCGAGAAGTTTAGTATAATAAGTGTAATATTAATCCTCCGTTGGTAAGGTTGGAATAAAAATGACCCCACGGTTCATTGACTCCCCTAGTCAAAGCGTTTTTTGTTTCATTTAAAGTATAAATTTATAAAGTATAAACGTATAAAACTGTATTTTTATCTATAAATTTTATCTGTAAATAAACACAGGATAAAGTTTTATGTTATTATTTACTTCTTTCTTTCATTTTATACATTAATTAGATGAAAAATAAGCATGGGATCGAATAGATCCCACCATACCCGATACATTCTAAAAGTTCACCTTACTAACGGAGGGTTAATTTTATGCATTTAAAGGGATCCTAATGTAACAGAATTATCGACATCATAAGTTAGAAAGTTCTCCAAATTAGTACAAATTGCAAAATCTTTTTACACAATTAAAGAGATACTGGCGTGACTGAACTCCGATGGAACCGTCGTTTTATCAACTTACACATATCATGTGATAGAAAAAAGATGTATCATTATAATGAATGTGCACTCGTCCATACTAATCAGAAATTAGTCGCAGATGTTAAAAAGCAATGTAGCTGCTAACAGTTGACGCTAAGTCAGCTGTTATTTTAAATTTGTAGTTGTATTTGTGATCAATTATTGATTGGCTGCCTTCACATTGCTGCTGTTATTATATGCAATAATACATCTTGTTTTTTTCCACCATGTGATTTATAATACATACGATTTATGAAACATCGATATAAATCTACTATTACATCAATATTGCATGCACATATAACACAAAATTTTCACACAATTTTTTATCTTATATTAAAGCTCCTAGATTTATTTCTAAAAGCACAGTATTGTTCTTCCATATAATTCCTAATCCGGACAAAATTTATTTTTTTATACATACGAAGCATAAAACTTTTATATAAAGCATACGTATATATTGTTACAAGTCGACCAAAAGTTGATAACAAAACTGTAATTTTCCAATTTTTTTCGTTTTTCATATAAAATCGTGCAGTTCGAACTACGTTATTGTCTATTTTAATTCTGGAAATGGATTTCCAAACTGTGAAAGTAATGCATATGAAAAATTGGTATAGAAATTATTGCATTCGATCGATAAAGTGGATGACGTCAGTAGTTCCTTTAAAGATAAAGATATTCATAAAAAAGGTGTGCGATGAGAAAATCGAAAAAAGTTGAAAAATTACAGATACCAAATGCGATGTTTTTAATTTTTTCGATTTTTTTCTCGTTAAATCGACCTCTTCTTTTGTTCCTACGTATTTTAATTGCGTAAAAGAATTTTACAATCTGTTTGGAATCTGTAACTAATTTGGAAAACTTTCTGATCTATAAATGTTAATTATTCCATTATTTTAGGATCTCCTTAAATATTCAAACCAAGTGTAATAAAAATAAAAAATCAAAAGCTAAATAACACGCGCGAAGCGCGCATCTGTCTAGAATCTGTCTTAAAAGATAAAATGACATGTTTTTTTAATGTACGTGTAGCACCATTCCTTCGTTCGTTATTATTTCACGGTACATTTCATACATTATTAATTAAATACTTTTTGTCGCACTGATATCGCAAGATATATATATATATGTTACGGTTAAATTTGACATTTAAAACTTGATAACTTAACACAATAATTTATTGATGTTTCCACTTAAATACCACATATACGTAACATTTCGCCTAAATAAACACACGACATTTACTCAATATTCGTCTAAATTATTCGTCGAAATTTCTTCATAATTCATCCGTCGGGTGTTGTAATAATTTGCATGAATCGAGGTCACATCTGTTTTCGCCGAAAGTCAGAATAAAGGGAAGACATCGGCAAGGAAGAGACAAGAGGTAGATGAACCTATCTCTGCTTGCTCGCTCAAAGCTGCCTCTTGTAAGGAATCGCGGGCAATCGCTAGTATAACTAATTATTCGCGACTGTCCGGCTTCGCGAGCCGCAGTCAGTCAGTCCTTTGAGAGATGCGGAAGATTCGTCTACGTGGGAAACCTTATAGTATTACTCTTCAGTTTCCTTCATGTGCTGGTTTGGCGCAGGCTTCGCGACTTGGTGATGGTAGCGTTTATCCGAGACCTGTCGGCACCTTCTTAATTGTGCTACAATTAAGGTCGACAACCATCGTTATACCATCGTCTCATATTTATCAATTAATTTGCGAATACGGCGTAGGCGATGTGTCATGCTAGTCGACTTGCGCGCGCGGAATGTAGGCGAGTCGCACGAGATCGATAGGAACGAGCAGTTTCCTGTCGGGGCCATGCACCGTGGATGGTTACGTGCCTCCTCGAAGTTCGATGAAAAATTTATGAAGAGTCGGATTTACGAGAGGCGGCGGGCTCGCGCGCTTAACGCGTGACGGTGGGAACGATGACGGTGGCGCGCAAGAGAGTGCTGGCTGAAGAAGAGAAAAACGTCGGCATACGAGGAACACAAAATTCTCCTCGTGCCGTCGTTGG